AGTGTTTAACACAGCAGGTGGGGAAGAAGCTGAAAACACACCATTGTTTGTGACTGCACTGCATTCTGGTCAAATTGTATCATAAATGGATGTCTTTGTGTACATTAGTGTTGACTGTCGATGCAAGAAGCTTCTAGAAAAAAAAACATCTAACCAACCGCCAACCCTATCATTAAATGGCCGACTGGCTCTATCTGTCCACATTCAACCTTCAAGCTGCTTTGCAAATACCTCAACTAGCACTGATATCAGATGATATCAGATCACTGCACGATTACCATCACCAAAAGATAGATAGATAGATAGATAGATGCGTAGATAGATAGATAGATAGATGCATAGATAGATAGATAGATAGATGCGTAGATAGATAGATAGATAGATAGATAGATAGATAGATAGATAGATAGATAGATAGATAGATAGATAGATAGATAGATAGATAGATAGATAGATAGATAGATAGATAGATAGATAGATAGATAGATAGATAGATAGATAGATAGATAGATAGATAGATAGATAGATAGATAGATAGATAGATAGATAGATAGATAGATAGATAGATAGATAGATAGATAGATAGATAGATAGATAGATAGATAGATAGATAGATAGATAGATAGATAGATAGATAGATAGATAGATAGATAGATAGATAGATAGATAGATAGATAGATAGATAGATAGATAGATAGATAGATAGATAGATAGATAGATAGATAGATAGATAGATAGATAGATAGATAGATAGATAGATAGATAGATAGATAGATAGATAGATAGATAGATAGATAGATAGATAGATAGATAGATAGATAGATAGATAGATAGATAGATAGATAGATAGATAGATAGATAGATAGATAGATAGATAGATAGATAGATAGATAGATAGATAGATAGATAGATAGATAGATAGATAGATAGATAGATAGATAGATAGATAGATAGATAGATAGATAGATAGATAGATAGATAGATAGATAGATAGATAGATAGATAGATAGATAGATAGATAGATAGATAGATAGATAGATAGATAGATAGATAGATAGATAGATAGATAGATAGATAGATAGATAGATAGATAGATAGATAGATAGATAGATAGATAGATAGATAGATAGATAGATAGATAGATAGATAGATAGATAGATAGATAGATAGATAGATAGATAGATAGATAGATAGATAGATAGATAGATAGATAGATAGATAGATAGATAGATAGATAGATAGATAGATAGATAGATAGATAGATAGATAGATAGATAGATAGATAGATAGATAGATAGATAGATAGATAGATAGATAGATAGATAGATAGATAGATAGATAGATAGATAGATAGATAGATAGATAGATGCATAGATAGATAGATAGATAGATAGATAGATAGATAGATGAGCAGATAGATAGATAGATGTGTAGATAGATAGATAGATAGATAGATGCGTAGATAGATAGATGCATAGATAGATAGATAGATAGATAGATAGATGCATAGATAGATAGATAGATAGATAGATAGATAGATGCGCAGATAGATAGATAGATGCGTAGATAGATAGATAGATAGATAGATAGATGCGTAGATAGATAGATAGATAGATAGATAGATAGATCGATAGATGCGTAGGTAGATAGATAGATAGATAGATGCATAGATAGATAGATAGATAGATAGATAGATCGATAGATGCATAGATAGATAGATAGATAGATAGATAGATAGATAGATGCGTAGATAGATAGATAGATAGATGCATAGATAGATAGATAGATAGATAGATAGATAGATAGATAGATAGATGCGCAGATAGATGCGCAGATAGATACCTAGATGCATAGATAGATAGATAGATGCATAGATAGATAGATAGATAGATAGATGCGTAGATAGATAGATAGATAGATAGATGCATAGATAGATAGATAGATAGATAGATGCGTAGATAGATAGATAGATAGATGCATAGATAGATGCGCAGATAGATACCTAGATGCATAGATAGATAGATAGATAGATAGATGCATAGATAGATAGATAGATAGATAGATAGATTTAGCTTGTTCATTGTGCGCCTTGTCTCTTTTTCACTCCAGATATGAGTGCAGGGCAGAAGAGAGTGTGTAACTGTAACTGTACAAAAAGAGCAGCTACACCAAATGGATAGTGGAGAGATAGCCAGAAGGCGTCGGGTGAAGGAGACAAAGCGAGAACAGAGAGAAACAGAGATGATTTAAAAAGCCATGGGTTATTTTTCCCAATATTCTGATATATTTATCAACATGATATCAATATATCATTTTTAAATCGTCAGTACTGGTATATTGCAACACCCTTAAGATTTATTCTTTTTTTTTATATGTATTTATTTATAAGGACAACCACTGTTGTGCCAGTTAGCCAGCTGGCTAATTTTCAACAGCAGTCCTTTGGAGAGATGCTTTGAAACCAATAAAGGGATAAAATCCACAGGACAAAGGCAGTATAAAGACATAAAGACAGCACTGACTACAGCAATTAGATAGAACAGGAGCCATGCAAAGCAACAAGCAACAGGAGAATGTCAGTACAATGCATTAACACAACAACAACAACAAACAGCATGTTGGCACAGACAGACATGCCAGCAATGTGAAGCACCAACACACAGATTAGCGTTACATTCAGACATGCAGGGTAGAAATAGAAAGCACACATAGATAAAAAACAATAGTCATTATGCATGGCCAAATACACTACTAGCAACTTCTATCTTGGCTACTTAAATGCAGGAATAAGAAAAGGCTTGAGTACAGAGCATGCTGCCTCTATAGCTGTTGCTCTGGGTGAACATTTTAGTTCAAAAATAGCAGCATTTGTTTCTTGAGGATGTTTGGACAAGGAACAATAGAGCCTTCAGAATCCATGTAGGACAGACTGCCTCCCCTTCTGACCATCCCAGTCTCACTGAATGACTCTATATGTTCACTCTCTCCGTAAAGCTCTCACTCACAGTCTCTCTCCCAGTTCAACATGCAATTCTCTTCCCATGGATGTAAATAAATCATCAAATATTAAAATCATATGTTTTTTTTCCGTCTCTACTCTTCCGTCTCTCTCTCTCTCTCTCCCTCTCTCTCTCCCTCTCTGTCTCCCCGGTGCGCGTCAGAGTTGCGCAAGCATCCTCCCCGCCTCCCGGTGTAGTACAGCTCTGCTCCGTCTCTCCCATTCACCACTTTACTATCACACTCGGACGGAGCGCGTGCAGAGGTGCTTTTCTGTTTTTTGTCTTAACCCCGCGTTGGATTATCACTGTGTTTTTCCATCATGCTGGAAGTGGAAGGTAGGAACCATAAAAGCAACAATTTTATTCTGCTTTTTACGTAACCGGCGTTTGTCATCCTCCCTCCTGCTCACCGGCAGCGCAAACTTTACGCTCCTGCTCGGGTCATATGTGATAAATGCAGGGTGTTTTCTCCACGGATGTGACTTTGATTACAATTGACTTTGTAGTGTGAGATATAATGAGAGATGTCTTTGAATATTAACGCTAACCGACTGTTGTGTAACCGGGAGGAGTGTCTGTCCGTGCGTGACGCTGATGCTGAATTTCATCAATGAAGATGTCCAGGAATTGCTTCAACAATAGCAGAGTCTTCTCATTTTTTTCCCGTTTGGAAAATAAGAATATTAATGTAGAGGCAGCCGGTGCTATTTTAGTCAGCTGTGGGCTTCGTCTCCTTTGTCTTGAATAATTCAGAAAGTTCTTTGATCTCGGCAGGGGAATAAACATTATACAGTGAAGGTTGGACCACTTTGCTCCCACAGGTTTCACTTCTCTGCTGCATCAAGGAGAATAGTCTCTGAGAATGTATCTAGGTGGAGACTGGAGATGTTTACATGCAGCAAAGGGCTCTAAAATGTCAGTAACATAAAAAAAAAAATAGGCTGAAAAATGCCAGAAAATAATGAATGTGATGATATTTCTCATTAAATCTACATTGGATGTTTTAAATTCATATTTTTTCTTGTAAATCCTGAGGAAAAGCTGCATTTTTGGTCATACCCCAGTTACTTTTAATACCTCCCTCACCCTAGAAGTCATAATTTATTAAACAAGTTGAAGTTCAACCATCCACACCATTAAAGCTGATTTCCAGAGCTCCTGATTGGCCTCCTGGATGCACCAGCAGCTTCTCAACCTCCCCAAAAAATGATATACACCTCCAGTCAGTCTCACTCTGTCAAGCCATTTTTTGTCTTCTCCAATTACTGCAGTTTCTCAGACCTGTATGTCAGTCAAGGCAACCTTGAGTTGACTTGAGGTGAAGCAATGTCTTGTTGCCATGAGACAATAACCCATGATTTCAGTCAGACAAATAAACAGGCTTGTGTTTTTTAGTGTGCAGGTTAATGATGCTGTTAGGCTTTTTTGGAATCCGGCTTTCGCTTGACCACACACAGGATTCGGGCGTAGCGTTGATTAATGTAATGTTCTTGTTTAATGAGGTGACGCCGTTGGGTTTTTTTGTGCTGCAGCTGGAAAAGTAGACTGAGCTGAGGTCACAAGTGCACCGAACAGAGGATCTGGTTGAAAATGAGGACTGCTTGGTGTTGTGTGTTGACTTCCAGCTATGCACCCGAAGCCTGGAACATGCTGTAATTATTCGGTGCACATATGTTTTAAGGTGCAGGTTTGACTGGGAGATTTGAACAACAAGATTTTGGCTGAAGCAAAAAAAAAAAAAAAAAAAAAAAAAAAAAAAGAGCAGTGTGGACTTCAGTGCTCTTTGGCTTTCTCTCTTACTCCCCCTCTTGTCCTCCTACTCCTCCGCCTCATTCATGTGAATGGATAGATGCTGAGGGCGGAAGTGTGGGCTGCTGCTAGACACTCTGAAATAAAACTGCTCCAGAAAACATTCACATTTAAAGGATCATCTGTTTCAATATTTCTCACCCATCTCACGCGCCCCCTGCTCCATTTTCTCTCTCGTTTTTCTCCCTCCAGTGAACGGGACGCCGGCCAGTCAGCTGTCCACTCCTCATTCGGGAAAATCTCCCAGCCCCTCCCCAACCAGCCCGGGCAGCCTCAACCGACGCCGGGTAAGACGAGAGTACACACTCATGCGCACACTGATAGTCACCCATAACATTTAGTGGCTCTAAAACTATAACACACTCCCTCTATGTTCTCAGGAAAAGGACAAAACGGTGACTGAGCATAGGCCGACCACATCTTAGAGTCACTAGAAATAAGAAGAAACCACAACATCCCAACATCTTTAGTGTCTCAGAACGGGGTGGGGCGTTGAACTTTGACCTCACGCAGTGCTGCTCTGGGATTCCAAGAAATGCAGTCTCATGTTAGAATCCTAATGTTACAACTATTATCCAGTGTTAATAGATTTTCAAGAGCAATTCCTCAATTCACTGATTATCTGTGCACATTCCCACCCATGCTGACCCATAGCTCCTCGTGGAGAACTCTATCTGCCTTTGGTAGCTGACCACTGAACGATGCTATCACTGACTTTTAGAGATCTGTCAGTCAGTAATTTGTGCAATATCTGATGGAAAAATGAGACTGACGGTTGGTTTGCATCCCCTGTTAGCCACTGAGCAGCGAAAGCAAACAAAAATAAGACCCAATCAGTACCGACAGCTGATTTAGGATTACTTTTTTATCATGTCATGTCATTTTGTACATGTCCTTTTGTGAAAAGAATTTAGAAACATTTTATACTAGTAAATCAGATTATTTCAGTCATGTTTTTATCATGTATTTGTCGCTGACTTGGGTTTTTAAAAAATCCCTGTTGAGACATTGAAGAATCAGTTTTCAGTCAATCAGTGTTTTCTGTAGCTAACAGGTCTGAGATGCAAACACACTGTAACTCAATAGCAAATACTACTGTGCAGAGAGAGAGCATGCAACTCAATCGGGAAAAAAAAACCCTTGAATTCCACATAAGAGAGTTCATGTGCAGGGTGTCTTGTGTGTGTGTGTGTGCATGTGTTCAAGATCAAAGTATTTGTTAATCCAGTTCTTGACAGTGACGATGGCAAGCTTTTAATATCAGCCCCAAATCCTAATCAGACTCTGTTTTCTCGCAGCAGCTCTTTAATTTGCAGGAACTCTTAAGCCTGCTGCTGATTTAGTTCCTTCTCCCGCGTAAACAAACACTTGCACGCTCGGTTCACCTCACCCTCTTGGATTTAAATACGCACACACAGCTGTATATGTGAACTTGTCGTGTGTTTAAATTGCTCCCGCCTGCACGTGTTTTCCTCAAGGATACTGTGCATGTGTGTGCCACTCTTCCACCTGACAGCAGGGGTGTAGCCGTGATTTATTCTGCAATTATTTATTATTTATTGGTGCCGCGACAGTGCTTTTTTTTAGGGAAGAAAAGGCAAGAATGTGGTAGGAGTCAATATGTTTGAATAGGACACAATGTGAACAATATCTGTACATAAATGAGTGTGTATGAGCTGAAATCAACACAGCATAAAGAATTCATCTCTTGGGCTCAGTGGCAGTCAGTCTCGTGCTGCATTCGATGTGCCAGGGAGAATTAATGGGTGGTGGAGAGTCTGGCCCTTAGGCTTCTGAATCCATCAGCGATGAGGTTATGATGATGTGATATGAAGGTCAGCCAGGAACAGATCAGGAACACGTCAGATTTGGGTTGTAGCTGCTGAGAACAGAACAAGGTGCACTGGAACTTCCACAGTCGTCTGTGTAATGGAAGTGGGTCACCATAGATTTCAGCGTTGAAAGGGGGGAAGAGGTTGGCAAGCGCACATTTATGAACTCTTTCTCTCTGTCTGCTTCACTCTGAATGGATACAATCAGGGCGGTTAATATAGAAAATTACAGCGCCCATTTTCTGCTGCTCTGTTCCTTCCTGCCAGATAATGTCCACCTTTTCAGAAAGGGATCTGAAAAAGTCAGGGTTACAGAGGTGAAGGAGGGCTAACTGGATGTAATGAGAAAACGTAAAAAAAAAATATTGCCCCCATCCTCTCCACATTCAACCGCACTGTCCGCCTCTTTGGTTCCGTCCACTTTTCTCATCACACATTAGCCTTCACAAATTAGCTTTGTAGTGCAATCCTGACCTCTGTGATACTGGCATTAAATTCTCGTTTTACAGAGTCTCACGAGCGTGTATTTCTCAACGAGAGATTATTCGGGTCTTTGTACTGGCTGACACTCTGTGCTAAGCCTGCAATGGCTTGGCTGGGAGGAAGGGAGGAAGCCTCGCAGTCCATTATCTCTCCTCTCCACTCTACAGCTTCACACTCTTCAGCCATATGATGGTGTAATTCTCTCCTCCACTTCTTACTTTTTCTATCTGCCCTGTTAGCAATCCTCCCTCTGTCCCTTCCCTTCCCTGACAGTTTCTAATTTCACTCCATCTCTCACCCATTCTCACTTCCCTCCCACCCAGCCAGCCCGCTCCCCCCATCTCCCACCCCCCCACCCCCCTCTCGCTTCCCCATATGAAAGGGTATTAACTTCACAGGGAGAAATTATATTCCATCATTTCCCTTGTAGATTAATTCTAAGCTTCTTTGAGAAGTAGGCGCCAAGTTTCTGACACTATATTTGCACATTCCCGCTCCCTCTCTGTCACCTCCGTGTAAACATGCATCAATAATCACAAAGTAGACTACACACACTCACAAATCCTTTTATTGTTATGCTCACAATAGCAAGCGAGTAACTTCCTCACCCTACCTCAGTCTAACCAAACCACAACTCAGAAATGACCCTTTTCCTTCAAATGAAACATAAATTTTACTATCAGTGTTCTTAAAAGAGCATCAAGGGCTTAAAAATAACTAAATTCTTTTTGAATTTTCAGCTTATAAAGTATTGAAAGCCACAATAAATCCATTTCCCGAGCAGCCACACAGGCTTAGTGACCTGCTACGAGTGTATAGCAGTTAAAATAGTTCACCTCGCTGGACCCTGTATTTAAACACTTAGAGGCACTTTGCTGCCTGATGTAGGTTGCTTGCACAGCTCAGACCACCCTAACCTATTTCCCCGAGCGGAATACACAGACATAGCATGGCGCTGTGGCTTTTCCCTTTCCCTTTCACACATGCGTAGCCACGAGCACACAGACGTGCACACATCTTCATGGCAGTTGCCCGCAGAATCACTTACGCGTTCATGTATGCTCCATAAAAACGCCACTTTCGAACTTGACATTGCCATTTGTGCACAGTCAGTAGACGACAGCTAGATTCACACTTGCACGTTCTATGTTTTATACATTTGGAGCATGCTAGTATGACCCATTTTAATGATTTGGCAACAGAAGCATGAAAGACTGGTCTACATTCATGAGGGCATCCATCCCCCTCTTCTACTCTGTGCTTGTTATAGCCCTTTCAGTGCACTCTAGCTTTCCATAATCCTATTGCTTTAAAGGAACACTTCACCCCTGAAATGATCATTTGTATATCAGTTCCTCATCCCGTTATGTGTTGAATTCATAAAGAAAACTTTGTCTTTCTTGCCTGCCTCCACAATGAACAAACAATCTAAAAACACTAACAAATTCTTGATCAATTGAAGTAATGGGGCTGCATTAAACAGCAGCAAAAGTTTATCAAAACATCTGTTTGCAAACTCTCAAACACCTTGTGTAATATAATGCAAGTCTTATTTGTCCAGTTGTATGTGCAGTGTTGTGTTCACAACACAAGACTGCGAATTGCTGTGAAATCAATGTAAAGACGTGATGAGATGTGAATTCCTGCCAGGTGGTGCGATAGATGCGATGCAAATGACGTGAAATACACAAATTAAATGGCGCGAATGAAGCAAGTAGCGTGATTTTTGCATCACAGGCTTATTTGTGAGAGTTGAAAAATCTGAAATTCAGCGACCAAGTCAACACAAAATATTCTAATGTTCAAAATCACGAAAGTAACACAATGCAAAAATTCGAGTCCGGTCTCACTCTCAAGTCTTCGAAATTCAGCGCTTGGGCAGTGACTTGCGGCATCAGAAACCATCGAAAAAAAGGCGTCCTTTAATGCTGGCATGATACGCGGCCAGTTGCTTGATCGGTCCAACAAACACCAGCTTTCACCCAAGAGAGTGGTGTTGAGAGATTCTAAAGCCAAACCTTGGTCTTTTTCCCGTCAACTCACGGTGCTGTACTGACGTAGTGCGTTTATTTTGAAAGAGACTGTATATAAACATCGAATTTCCTGTGAAAAAAGTGTATTTTGAAAGAAGACAGTGCATGTAACAGGCAGAATTTGACACAGTGTCCCAGAACCTCAACAACCAACACACCCAGGGTACCTTGCACATCATGTTTCACCGTGGAAAGTCCATGATCAAACGTTAATATATGCGACGAGGTCATAGTGAGAATGAGTTGGAAAATTTGCATCGCTTTTAGTGTGAACATAACACAAGGCTTTTAAAGTAAGGTTGTAACAAAAATGCATGTGTTTGGAAATGACTGAACATATGACTGGATAAATAAGATTTGGATTTTACTGTATGAGTTGTGTGAGAGAAGGTTAACATGTTTTGATATAGCCATTGTTAACGGACCCCTATGACTTCAGGCCATCAAGAATTTTCTCTGTTTTTGGACCGTTCACCATAGAGGCATGTAAGAAAAACATTTTCCTCATGATTTGATGTAACACAGGGTGAATAACTGATATACAAATGATAATTTGTGGGGTTAAGTATTCCTTTAACATCTTATAAAACCTATGGACATACGCATCCATGCAGACACACACCCTGATATTTGTTTTTGTTTTTTAGTCAATATCTGCTCTAAAGCACGCACCGATGAATCGAATTAGCTACCGAGGTCACAGCTCTTCCCTGTCTGTTTACTCCATTAGACATGAAAAAATACAGACAGGGAAATAAATCACAAAAAAAGGCAATATGCAGAGAGTAGTGCCGGACAGATTGAAGGCAAGACAGACAGAAGGTCCGTGATGGCAGTGCAGCTGTGATACAGTCAGGTTGCTGTTTTTGTGAGCGTATGAGAGGAAGAAAGTGCTAATTGTCAACCGTAGTATGTCACCTACATCCTCCTCTCACCATTGAGTCATTCACGTCCGTAATCCATTGAATTGCATGCTCCATCTCTCATTACCGTCCATATTTTGTGTTGGGTGATTCATAATTAAATTATGTGTGCATGTGTGTGAGTGTGTGTGTGTGTGTGTGAGAGAGAGAACAGATTGAAGGTGTGTATTATGAAGTTGTTAATTATTGTCTCATCTCATCCATGTGAGTGTTACTAAAGATTGTATTTGTTTTTTGGCTGTATTATATTTCTTATTCCATGTTGTGTTGATGTCGTTAGATGGCTTGTCCAATTTTTTGTTCCTTTGTTCCACCACTAAGACTGGCTGCAGCACATGAGCAAACTGGAACATGCAATCCCTGTGATTTTAAAGCTCAAACATTGTTTCTTGAACATTTTATTCCTCCAAATTGATCACAAATCTGGCTCATATTTACATATCTTTTAATTGGGAACATTAAGTTACGCAACAGGGCATCAGGATCTTTTTTTGCACTGCCATTTACATACATGTAAGATATGTAACTATAGAAACTGACTGTGTGCTCTATCAGAGGCAAATTATGTTTGATAACCTGGTCCATCATTTACATGCTGTGATTTTTGTCATGTAAGGCCGCCAGCTCTTCTTGGCTCATTTGTTTCTGTTTGTATTTCCTTTGCTTAATGTATTAATTTCCATTTGTTGATGTCATCATTAAATTCATTGTCATTTCATTTTCATTTTGCGTTTTTCTTCCCATGCTCCTCATTTGTGTTCATTAGCACTTCGTCATGTTCATCTCACAGAAAAACAAACAGTAGCTGGAGGATGATTATGGTGATGATGATGATCACTTCTCCTTTGTTAGACTTACAAAGTCTGTATTCAACAGAGCAGAGAAGAGATTACAACACACTCAATCCCAGAGGTGTATTCATCTTCCCCGTCCTGCTGCGTCAGTTCTGGATGTGGTTTTCGGGCTGAGACAGCCCCAAGTCTCCCATTTTTAATTTTCCCTAAAGCATTTAATCACGTTCCCGTGATTCCCCTGGGATTGTGGTCCATAAGGGTCATGATTAGAAAACTTCCTTGTGTCCAACTGGCAGAGCAGAAAGTCAGAATACCCAAACACTGTTGATCTCTTCAGATGAGAGTCAAATAGATTATGTTTCCTGTCTGTCTAGACACCAAAATAAGAGCCAAGAAATATTATCTCCTGTACCTTGCGTCCTTATGAGAGGCAGAGTGGGAACTTGGGACAAAACAAAGTACCCTGTTTCTATCAAATCTTATTAGATTTTTTTTCCGTCCAAGCAAACACCAATAAATCCTGCTTCTGCTGGATATTGCGTGACAGTGAAAGTGACAAGAAATGCTGCTGGAGAGGAGGTTTGGCTCTCTCAGCCTGAGGGACGGAGAGAAAAACAGCTTTAGGATGTGTTATGTAATCCGATTCAGGCAGGGTCATCGAGGACAGGACTAACATTACTCCTAAGTTGAGTTTGTAAATGTGTGTTGCATCTTTAATGCCGAATTCTGCACTTTCTTTTCATTATTTCTGCTGCTACACATCTGAGATGATGCTCCACGTTTAAGGGCAATCATGGACATCCTGTTTAATTCACATTTATGCGCTGATCAGTATTCAGCTGCTGAGCATTGCCCTTGCGGGTTTGAAGAGCAGTGGCTCCAGCCATGATGTAAAAGGTTTGTCAGTGTGTGTGGTTTTTTTTTTTTTCTTCGTGGTGTGAGTCATAGTCAGAGCAAAAGTGTAGAGATGTAGAGCTAGGAATAGTGTGTGTTGTGTTGTGCAACAGGGAGAAGGCTGGATGGTCTAACAATAACAAGACAGTTCCTGCCAAATGTAATGATCAATATGGAGCAGACTCCGTACACCTTTCTTACCGTCTCTTTGTTTCCCTTACCCCGGCTCTTTCTCACTCTCTGTCATTCCGTCTGTCTCGTAGTTTTTCACACAGGAAAAGAGAGACACAATGTTCATAGAAGGTTGAACCTACCTCCCAGCCCGCAGACAGGAAATGGCCATATATAGGCTTCTGTCTCCACACTGGAAGTCTCATAAGCTGCCTCTCCTCTCTCCTCTCTGTGAGCAGTTTCCATAGCAACAGTATTTTGTTTCCCTCGGTGGCAGGAAGAGAGAGATAGGAGTCCAAAATGAGAAAGCGAGTAAAGGACAGGGCTGGATGTGAGATAAGGGCACAAGAGAGGTAAATATACGAGCCGGGATGAGAGAATAAAAGAGCAGAAGAAGGATGTTTTGCCGATAAAGCACAGGAGGGTCATCGGCTTTATGGGTATTAAGTGGGTTTTCTTGTTCCGGGATGAGTGCCCGAGCAAAAACAACATTACATAAACCAAATCCAGCCTGACTCACAGCTACATTTCACCTGGGTGGCTTTCAGGTCACAGCAGTAGAGATGAGTAAAAGAGCTGACAGTTACTTGGGCAGAGATATAGAGCAGCTCAGCTCTGTAAATAGTTTTCAGATCTAAGTCATTATGATGGGTGGCCTTTTCCTCTTTCTCTCGGGGCTGTATCACAGTCTGACCGGACACCAGAGAAATGAGGAGTTATTTCTAGTCCCCAGCAAGCATTTTTTACGCTTAATAAATGGTGTGCGCTGGCGTTGGAAACACACTCTGTAAGATTAGATGCGTAATATCTGATCTAAATTGTTAAAGTTTAAAGAAGTTTTGTTTTGTGAACTTTTACCACGCCATAATGAAATTCTCTGATGCCAAATTTGGCCTCCTTTGCACGTCACCTTTGTTCCACATGCTTGCTTGGTTATTATCATAACAATTCAGCAGCACTTTTTAGATCTCATCTCTTCTAAAGGAGTCAGGACTGATTGGTGTGTGGTATGAATTCGCCTGGAGAGAGCATCGAAAATACTACACCTGCACTAAAATGAGAGATGAAACAAAAATGTATCAGCTAGACAACATTAGTCACCAACAAACTGCTGATGCACTGCCCTCAGTCGCACATGTGGATTGACTCCATGCATCACACACATATTGCAGACCATTTACAGTGCAAACTGCACTTGTTAATAATTCACGTGGGCCGGGGGGCTCCTCTTATATTTTAGAGGAATTATAATGGCGTCCACTTCCATCACTGGCCGGCCTGCATGTGCCAGCTGCACCTGCACCAGGATTTATTCGAGCACTGGAAACCTCCCAAACCACAGAGATTTTTCACTGCTGTATCCTCAGGTCTGACTGTGATGCAGGGGAGAGGAGGCTAAGGGAAGTGAGAAAAATGTCCATCTTACAAATGAAGAGACTAACTGTCCTGACAGGTGCCTGCGAAGACAAATTGAACATTATCAAATTGTCCAAAAGAATCTGAAGCCAATAACATTTGTTATGAAACAGGTTTTGGAAGAGAGGAGAGGAGAAAGATGGACAGGAGTGGAGGAGAAATGGGAGAGGGGTAGATTCTCATTTACAGTCCCGGCTAGATCCTCACTCCCCACCCTCGTTGCTTCCATGACAACCAGACAGAAGGTTAGGAGGTGGAGGGCGTAATGAGTTTTTGTCTTTAGATAGATGCAGACGCTGCATCTCTTTCCCCTTAATGACCTCCTACTCACCAACCACATGAAAGACGGTATTCATCTGCTTTTATTAGTGTCACCAAAACCTGTGTTTGTAGGTGTTCTTGAAGGGAGTAGTGAGGAGTAAAAATAAGGTACAATTACACAGGGATGACTTAAACTTCTGTGAATGGAGAGGAGCTTATTTGGATGCAATTGTCTGTCCAACATGGACACACACAGGTGGTTTGCTGATTAAGTAACCAGGTTTAAATTCAGCTTGGTAGCTTAAGTAAATCTGTTCAGACTCCTCTTGTGAGCACAGTGTACACACAACACAGGGCAGCACAATACAAAAGACAGACATGCAAACACAAAGACAGACTTATGGATGTTCTGAGGGATGAGACGAGTCACACAATGTCCTTTTGTCTATTTTTGGACATATATATTTGTTTCGGCTGGGATTGTAGCAGAAGGGACTGCTCGTGGTGTTTTGTTTGGTTTAAAGTGGATTACAAACTATTTTGGGTAATAATACAGATTTAAATAATCACCATCCTGCTCTCTGTCCCTCTCCTCTCCCTTTCTGCAGGGGTCCCAGGGTTCTTCCACCTCTCTGTCTTCCACTAAAGTTTCAAGCTCAGTGGAAGACGGGGACGGACCTGTTACTGAAGGTGAGGAAACGTTACAAGAATGTCTCATCTGTCCGTCAGTGAGCAAAGGCAGTGTACTTGCAAATATCATGCATGTCTGAATCATGTTCATGACCTTTGATGCATCTCTCGCTCTCCCCCATCTCTGTGTTGTCTCTGTGTTGAACATTCTGTTCTCATACTCCTCGTTTTCTCACACTTGTCCCCTCCTTTGGTGTCTTTCTCCACTGCTGACTCCATGAAACTCTGCGACACCACAAACAGTTATGTGTTGGTACATTTTGTAAAGGTTATACTAAGAATACTAACTCTTTTATGTTGAGTCGTGTATATCTGACATTTCATCTTTGATTTTATTGACATTTTGAGGACACAGAGAACCTTTTCGAATGTGATAAATCAATAAATTGATTCATATTTAACTGAAAATTGATTGCATGTATTTGCAATTTAATTTACAGGGTAGTTCCATATTTACTTTTCCATTTGCCAGCTTGATCACCATTTTCAGAGCTCTCTGCAGACAAAATGCCGACCCTGGGATGTAAAAACATAGCTTTAAAACTCAGTTAGTAACTGTGTTATCTATCAGTCCCTTTACAGTTCATTTATCCATTTATTAATGTATTTTTATTTACGAATTCTTTTACAGATCCCAACTTTTTGTCTTGTTAAATATCAATTAATGAATTTTTATTGGCAGTAAATGCTCTAGTCTTTAACAAGGCTCTTTCGTTCAGTTTAATTCCATTTTATTTATAAAGCCCTATATCACAAATCACAGTTTGCCTCAGAGGACTTTACAGCATACAACATCCCACTGTCCTTTGGACCCTCATGCGGATAAGAAAGAACTCCCCTGTCTGAATTTAAAATAAGGAAATTGGAGCTCATCCAGGTTTTCATGTCTTTAAGGCAGGTTTTAAGTTTGGTTAATTGATCCGTTTCTTCGGGCTTTATCAATAGATATAATTTTGTATCATCTACACATTGGAATGTAACAGAGTGATTTCTAATGATGTTACCTAAGGGAAACATATATAAAGTGAATAGAATTGGTCCGAGCACAGAACCTTGTGGAACTCCGAAACAAACTTTAGTATGTAAGGATTATTCATCATGAACATCCATACTTACCTGTGTGCATGCATTGGATCCTTACCAGCCTGGAAAAAGTGATCAAAACACACATGTTTAAACTCAAGTCCCTCAGCCGCTCTAAAGCTCATTCTTCCTCCCTGCAGCTGAGGTTCTGGTCGATGAGGTTCCAGCTGTGCCATCCTACATATCAGACCGCTACAAGGTGGGGCGCATGTTAGGCGATGGGAACTTTGCTGTCGTCCGGGAATGTGTGGAGCACTCCACAGGCAGGGAGTACGCTCTGAAGATCATCAACAAGGGCAAATGCAGAGGGAAGGTAAGCTATGGCTCCAGAGGCAAAAGAATACTACGCAAGGCTAACACACTCAAGTGGGAATACTGTTGCTTGGGTTAAATGTTTCTTATGAAGCTTACTGAAAACTGTTCAAGTACATGTACCAAAGTAGCGCCTTCACAGATGATTGGACGCTAGTTAACTGTTTTAATGACAATAACACTACATAACATCAAAACAACAGTTCGCAGTTCTAACAGGAGAGATGTGTTAAGTTATTCTTTTATTTCTTTAATGTTTTTTTTACACTTGGCTTTTTAATTCATGTTTCCAGGAGCACATGATCCAGAACGAGGTTGCCATCCTCCGCAGGGTCAAACATCCAAACATCGTTCTGCTCATAGAGGAGGTGGACACCTACAGCGAACTTTATCTGGTCATGGAGCTGGTCAAGGTGTGTGGGCATGTTTGTATACTGTGATTACATGTTTATTTGTTTGTGCATCATCTCCTCTGGTTGTGGACAGGCTGGGATATTTGTTCAACTAGGATAATGGATAGATACATTCTCTGTTTATATTGGTGATCATTATCTCCAACTTGAGAGCGACAGAGAGGAGCGGGGAGGCAGAAGCAGCAGCAGAGACAGAGCAGCAACATTCAGCCAGTGAAGCAAATGATGAATTCCAAACAGTCGCACACTATGGGATCCAGAGTATCCGTCCGTGGCCCTGAAACACTCGTGTGTTCACATTCTTTATCCTCTCTCGCTCTCTGAGGCAAGAAATGTTTGTGCATAATTCAGGAGGCAGGAATGTGATCCATCTGTTCGTGTTGTGGTGTAGAGTACTACAGAATATAGATGAGAGGCAATCTGTGGAAGAAGTGCGTGTACGTGCGAGCGTGTCCAAAGTAGGAGGATCGAGAGGAGGTTGTGGATGAATGAGGTGGAGAGAGGCTCTGCAAGAGTGGCAGGGACTGAGAGAGGGAGAGAGACAGATGGATGCATTAAATGGGGAGGCGTAGGGTAAGAGCAGTGAGAGAGAGAAACAGAGAGAGATGATGCGAAATATTAGGGCTGCAACTCATGATTAGTTTCATTTTTATTAATCTGTTATTTACTTTCTCGATAAATCGATCAATTGTACCGGTGACGAAAATCTTCTATCAGTGTATATGTGTATCACGATATATATCACGATACAGTAATATGTTCTGTCAATTGACCCTTTGCTAAGCCCCGCCCCTTTGTGATGGTCCGACAAGTTGTTGGAGCTAGCGTAACTGTAATTAACTGCAATCCCTGAAAAACTCTTATGATATTTTTGGAGAAATTAAATAGTGATTTCAAAGAGAAGTAGTTCCCCCCCCCCCCGCCTCACATGAGACAATGCTTGAGTTAAAAACAAAACTACAGTATAACTCAAATTCTTTCAAAATAAAAGCTTGTGTTACAGGCTTCTGTGTTTACAACTTCACTCTCCTCCTGCATGTCTGCCCAAAACACATTGGCAAAAACGATATTGCCAAGTCTCTACTGGTGGACTCATCTCAACTATTGCACAATATAAACCCTCATAGCTTCCAAACCTAGTTGTTTGGTCTATAAAATGACAGAAAATTGTGAGAATCATCTATCAGTGTTTCCCAAAGCCCAAGATAAAGTCCACAAATGTCTTGTTTTGTCCACAACCCAAGGACGTTCAGTTTACTGTCATAAAGCAGTAAAGAAACTAGAAAATTTTTCACATTTAAGAGGCTGGAATCTGACCTTTTTGTATTTCTTTGAAAAATTACTCACACTGAATAACTGATTATTAATTTTTTTATTTAACCTTTATTTAACCAGAAAAACCTCTCAAGATTAACAATCCCTTTTTCAAGAGTGCCCTGGCCAAGACAGGGAGCAATTTATTTTTAGAATAAATATACAGCTCTAAAACAAGCAATATAAAACACAAAATAAGATTACCACAAAGAGAAGCCAAAATGTATGTTAGTTTATACTAGGAATGAATCATAAAAATACAAAAAGGGCAACTACACTTGATTACAAAGACCAGCTAAGATACACCATGACACTGGCATATAGAAGATTAAGAACAAAAATCCTGCAACACTGCTTCGAAATGGCCGAGAGGAACCATTGAGTGCAACTTTAAGTCCTTCTGCAGAAGATTCCACATATAAGGAGCTGAATACATAAATGCTTGCTTGCCAAACTTTGTACGTACCCTTGTTACAGACAATAAAAACACGTTCTGAGAACAGAATGCACAGTAAAAATAGTTGGCGATTCATTTAATTGTTGACATCTAATCAATTAATTGTCGCTCTACAAAATATAGTATGTAAAAGTATGAAAATATAAGAGTTTGTGTCCTTTTGTCTGGTGTTGTTTTGGCAAGGTCCCTTAGTTTTAATTATAGGAAATCTTGATATTTCATTCTGTAGTTTTGACGTCAACATGACAAAGTGTTGCCCAAAAAGAAACACTTTTTGGAAGAACTTAAATGGCTTGTACAGAGGCCTGACCTCGACCCTATGTAACACCTTTGGGACATGAACTGTGAACCAGGCCTCATCACCCAACATCCGTGACTGACCTCACTAATGCTCTTGTGGCTGAACAGGAGAAAAGTCCCTGCAGCCTTTTTCCAAAATGTTGTCGAAACCCTAATAGTGGTGCATTAATGTCTAGGCTTTTGGAAACAAGATGTTCATCAATCACATAGAAGTGTAATGTCTGAGTGTTCACGAACTTTCGACCACATAATTGAGGTAGAGAAGTGCAAACACTGGTTAGAGGCTGACAGCGCTCATGTTTAAGTAACGGTCGCTGTGCAGGCCGGACGCTGACAGCATGTCTGAGTCTGTGCTGGGAGAGAGAGTTAGAGAGATCCAGCCCTATTTTAAGCCTCTGCTCCACTTAGTCCACTCAGGGAGAGACAGAGAGAGGGGGAGCTAAGAGGAGGGGGAGATTCATACAGAATCAAACATATGAGAAGTGAGGAAAAGCCTGCGAGAAAAGAGGAAAAGATGAATTAAAGGAAAAAATTAAAATGAAAGGGAAATATTAAAGACAGGGAGGAGGAGATGTTTCAACCTAGGTGAGGAATGAGGACACAGTTTACCCCTCCAGCTGCTGAGCAGATGAAAACCCTCCCTACTAAATCAACTTTCTTGCCAAAAACTCTTCTCAGCAGAAAAGATGAGCAACTGTGAAAACTTGGAGGTGAAGCCGTCGGGTTTTGTGTGTTAAAACACCAAACAAATACTCCTGTCTCTAAAACTGACAACACACCTGTCTATTGTGATTTGTCTGCAGGGGGGAGATCTGTTCGACGCCATCACCTCTGCCAACAGGTACACAGAGAGAGACGCCAGCGGCATGCTCTACAATCTGGCCAACGCCATCAAATACCTCCACAGCCTCAACATTGTGCACAGAGACATCAAACCAGAAAACCTGCTGGTGAGTTCACGCCGAGTGGTTCTGCATACTGTGTACACAGTCATGTAACTTGCCGCAGTGTAGCCTCCCTCCTTTCTGAATGAACGGTGAAGTAATATCACTCACTCTGGACTCTCACAGAGGAGCGAGATGACTCATCCCTGCTGCCCTCACACCTCCCGCACACTCCTTCTCCAGCCTCCCTCTTATGTGCATTCCCTCCCTCCTTCTCCCTTCTGTCCACCTCTTCACTGTCTTCACCCTCTTTCCCCGACTGCTGCTCTTCTTGCCCTCCTTTGCTCTACCAACCAGAGTCACACAGTTAGATGTAATGAATCCAAAACAAAGAGTTGAAAGACGCTGAAACATCTGAACTGAAGTCATACTATATCATAAAGAGCTGCTCTTATTTCGGCCAACCCTCTATCACACACATAAACATGCACAGCACACTGAACTACTTCCTCACCAAAGCAGTTGCTGATTGGAAGTCACAGGAAGTGCCTATTTGTTCAAGCCACTAAGTGTAGTATTTGATTATTTCAGACTTTGATGCCCCCTAGTGATACTGTAGCAGACCAACTCCAACCCCCCACACCAATGTGACCCAGGGACACTGAAACAAAAACTGAACAATTTGAATGTTGTATGTTTTTAGGTGTACGAGCATGCAGATGGCAGCAAAAGCCTGAAACTAGGAGACTTTGGTTTGGCGACTGTGGTGGATGGACCCCTCTACACTGTCTGCGGGACCCCGACATATGTAGCACCTGAAATCATCGCAGAAACAGGGTAAGAGCTTCAGTCGCAAAATCATGGCTTAATGCAACTGCAAATTACAGATGAAAAAAAAAAAATTTGCGAAGAAATTTTGGCATAGATGTGTAGATTTCAGATCATGGTTAGCATTGGTTAGCATTGTTGCTTAACAGCAAGAGGGAGTTCGCATGCTCTCCCCGAGTTAACGTGGGTTTTCTCTGGGTACTCCGGCTTCCTCCCACAATCTAAAGACATGCAGGTTAATCAGTGACTCTAAATTGTCCGTAGGTGTGAATGTGAGTGTGAATAGTTGTCTGTCTATATGTGTCAGCCCTGTGATAGTCTGGAAACTTGTCCAATGTCAGCTGGGATAGGCTCCAGCCCCCCTGCGACCCCTAACAGGATAAGCGGTTACGGGAGATGAATGAATGAGTGAATGAATGAATGTAGATTTCAGAGGGGACACAGGGGGACACATTCCCCTCAAGAACAACATGAAACTAGCAGAGGACTTTTATTTTGACAAAATTAAAGACATCCTCACCATAAATTGAAACAGAAAAGGCACAAATTAGTGCATCAAAATTCACCAGAATGCAGAAAATTGTTTATCACCCAAACTTTTCTGGCAGAGGATTCCCAAACCCATATATGTGTCCCCTGCAATGTAGAAACAAAAGCTATGCCGTTGTTAAGAGGAACAATGCTGCTCTGCATGTTCAATTTTTTTTCTTTATCTTTGCCTAAGTCATCATATTTCTTTGTCTTCCTGCAGTTATGGCCTTAAGGTGGACATCTGGGCAGCTGGAGTCATCACCTACATCCTGCTGTGTGGTTTCCCACCCTTCCGAGGGTAAGCTAACAGCAAGAGCTACTCCACCAAATTAAATTTCACTGTCACTTTAATATATGGACGCAGTCATATGAAAATGTTTCTTTTACAGGAGCAGTGACGATCAGGAAGTGCTTTTTGACCAGATACTAATGGGACAGCTAGAATTCCCTCTCCCGTACTGGGACAACGTTTCAGAGACAGCCAAGGTGAGATGTCTGTGTATGTAAGGACATGATCTGTTTGTACGTCCACATGTTGGAGGAAATTGACTTGACTCACCGATGTTTGTTTGCTGCTGAAGGAGCTGATTCGATCCATGCTGGAGGTGGAGGTGGATCAGAGATACACAGCCCTCCAGGTGCTAGAGCACCCTTGGGTCACTGTAAGTACACTGTTAATGTAGCTCACATTTATTGAGTGGCAATATTTTACCAAAAGCGCTAAAGTCATTTTTTTCTCTTCTGTCCTTGCTCGATACAGGATGAGGGTCTATGTGAGAACGATCATCAGTTGTCAGTAGCAGGCAAGATAAAGAAGCACTTCAACACCAGTCCGAAAGGCAACGACACCACTGCAGGAGTTTCAGTCATTTCTGTAAGTAGAAACTACAGTACCCATAAACCAACTGGTCTGTCGGATTGTTCGAAACTCTCTTTTTAACTTGTTCTGTTTTTAAGTGAACTGGTCTTTAGATTGATTGTGCTGGTTTCTCTTTGTGTTCAGTTGGATGACAGCTTTTCTATGCAGAGATCTGGGTCGTTGGATTTCTACCAGCACCCGGCCATGTACTGGATAAGGTACGCCAGGTTTCCATAGAGACACAACCGAGTAGATGGTCAAAAACCAGCGCGAAATCAAAACAAAGCAAAAAAAAAAGTGTCTCTGAAATTGTTGCCTGCGTGCGGCCCCGCTGACTGGCTGCTGCTGTGCTGCTTTGACAGCTTCATGTCGTCCTTGCTCTGTGGTCTTTGTGCTTGGCTTTTTGCTTCCCCCCTTTCATCCCTCGCTCGATGTAAACACACATTTCACGCAGCACATGCATCGTTGTTGCCTGTCTTTTGCTACAGCCTTGTCACTGTGTATCAGTGTCTCCTGGATTTGTGCGTGTCTGAATAAAGAAGTGCAGGTTACCCTTAAAATTACCCATGTGAATGTTTTCCCTCACTTTCTGTTTACACAGTTTCTTTGAGAATGTCTCCTTCCAAAAAAATAACCCTGTTCCCTTGCCTGTCACAGTCAATTTCAGTGATTTTTCTTTGATCGATGTCATGCTCCCTACCTGGCTGCCTCCATTAATACCTGAGCTTGCTGTTCAGCTCCCATGGCTCCTGTTGTGTGACTTCATCCACCGCTGATTTATGGAGGACTTGGAGGGTCACGTTTTCTTGTTATGAATTAACTGATCGAGATTTACAGACACTGACAAGAGGAATTAATAACATACTTTAATAAATGAATACCAAATTCATCATTTAATGTATTCATCTAGCTAAAAAAATCTAATTAAGGGGGAGGTTGCAGAACTGCAACTTCTCCCATGTGCTAAGCATGTAGAAGAAGTGGTTGCTGTCACAAATATGCAGATGGCCCCATCAAGAACCAGTGTTTGTCTGTTTTGGGCTACTGTAGAACAACACGCTCAGTATGTAGATATAAACAGCTCATTCTAAGATAACGAAAACACAGTGATTCTTTTCTTCAGGTGATTATAAACTAATGAAAACTTATTTATGAATATACCATTTCTGCCAATAGATGCCCTACACTGGACCTTTCAGAGCTGAGATGTTGAATTGATTTATTTCACTTTTAATTTAAGCATCAACAGATATTTTTTGTAAACTTTTCACTGATTTTTTTAGTTGTTTATTGATCCTTTTATTAGCTTAGTATTTTTGCATTTGTTAATCCCTCTTAAATTCTGACTGTCCAATTAAATATCAAATAATAACTTAAAGTCCTGGTAAATTAAAATCAGAGATTTGTCTCTAGACACATTACATATGCTAGAAAATATCTGCTGGAAACATATGAAAAGAATTTAAGCTAGCGCTGAAATGTGGAGTCAGACCACAAAACTGTTTTTGCCTATTTTTGTGTTAAGGACTTTTTGGGCGGGCCCCAATAGTATATCAGCACTAGAGTGCATAACATTAGTGGTTCTCCCCCAGCCCCGATCAATCGCCACAACAACCACTAGCTAGCTATTGGCTATTACCCACACCCACCCGGCCGTTCAGGAGCCAGTCTGCAAAAACATGCATTAATCAACGACCTGACCCAACCTTACTTGCAATCCATAATTTTTTGAATCATTCAAATTTGGCTGGGTGGTTGATAACACATTTTTCAGCGGTATGACAGAGCACATATTTTTACCCAGACTTTAATGAAGGCTCTCCTGGTCCTCCATACTGGATTATCATCCACTTTGCTACTGGACCCCTGCATCAGAGGATCTAATCATTTCGACCTTGTGTTTCTTCCTCATTCAGGCCACCCCTCTTGATAAGGAGGGGCAGGTTCTCAGACGAGGACGCCACCCGGATGTGAAGCCGCTGCCTTTGCAGATGATGCCTACGATGACAACAGTAACAACACCAACAACTAAAACACTACGGGCGGAGCCTCCCAGTTGCCTCCCTGGCCTGCCCACGGCCCCTCCCTCTCTGACCCCTGACACTTGCTCTGACCCTTCCCCGAGCCCCAGCCTCCCATCTGACTCTGATGACATCTCCATCAGCTCAGCCAGTATCGCCTACTCCCCCAACTCACCCTTCTAGACAGGAGGCGGATGGGAGGAGGAGGAGAAGGAGGAGGAGGAAGAAGCGAGGAGGGAAAATCCTCATCCAGCTCCTCCCTCTATGTGGAGGAGGAGGAAGAGGAGACATCAGATTCCCCACAGTCTCTAAGGCTGCGGGTGAACAGGGGAAACAAAAAAAAAAAATCAGAGAGAACTTTTAGCTGCCCTGAATCCATCTTTCCAAACCTGGAGGAGAGATCGATCAAAGGGTGGATAGAGGAAAATTAGGGTAGAGAGGTTGGGAGAAAGACTGAAGAGGCAACACGAAACAGAGAACACGAGAAAGACGGAAAAAGCAGAATGAGGGGAAAGACGTTTTATTTATTTCTTTTTAACGTTCTCTCATCTGAGCACATGTTGCAGAGCTCAAGGAGCGAGAAAGGGCGACGGTATGGTTTCCCTTTAGTGATGATCCGGGCTCAACATGGAAACTTCCTGGTGGAGCAGCTCTACAAGGCAATATGAGAATATGGACCAATGTTCATGTTTTATTGAACCTTATTTACTCATTCTTTATTCACTGCATTTTTTATATGTATTTTCCCTTTTTCATAAAGGATACGTTTTTGTTGACTTGTGCTATGAGCTTGGGAACGAGAATAATGGAAAAGTGTGTAGAAGTAGAGGTAAGAATTGTTGAAGTAGGCTACCGTAGACTAACGTGAGAAAACGAGAGCGACAGTGTGTAGTGAGAGGAATTTTTTTCTTACAAATGTGTTAAATACAGTGTTCATAGAAAAAAAAAAACACAGACAAATGACAGATCAAAGACAGCACTTGTGCTCTAATTCTGTGCTCCACACAGTTTTGGCGTTGCCTTCCTGTAATGTTGGATTGCAGTATTACAGTTTACATTTTACACAGACTGCTATTAAGACAATAATGGTGCATTCGATCTCTCCTTGTAATTTTATCAGCTGCTTTGTTCATGACATCTCGATAAACGAAATTCAGCAGTATTCGGGTGCTTGTGTAGCAAACTCAACATTTTTTCCTCAATGCACACAGTTTCACAGTCATTCTGAATTGATATCATATTAATCTTGATATTTTGTGATGCTCATGTACACATTTGAAGCCTTGTTTACATTTTTTTTCCAACACTAAAGGCATATTTCATCCAAATATTCCAGCAGAAAAGAAAGGTATAATTGTTGCAGCCGAGGTGTACCACTGAAGAAATGTTTAAGGTGGGAAATGTATACAATTAGCCGTTTATGAGGGCTGCCTATTTGCACAAAGTACTGCGCTCTAGGTGTAGTCGAACAGAGAATGACAGTATGGATACCGGAGAACCAGCAGCACTCTTTGAAAGCAGTACAGTTAAAAGAATGGACAATGATTTATTTCAGCTCTGTACAACCTCATTCATGGCTTCATTTATTCAGATGAAAGCATGACAGACATACAGTAGCCTATTCTTATATTAAAAAAAAAAAAACGGTTTCGTGATGAAGTATCGTTTATATGTTATGTAAATAACATAATTTCATTTATTTTGATAGTTCACAATACAGTATATTTCTTTACTAGTAGTAAGTCTATGAGAACTGTAAAAAAACACACATAAAAAAACAGTCATACATGTGTAACAGCAAAGAAAAAATAATCTAGAGGAGATCATCAGGTCAAAAAGAGACAATGCAGATGAGTTTAAGAGGACCATTTCGACCTGACGTTGAACCACCTGGACGGATCTACACAGACAAATCTAGAGAAGAGGAAGAGAACACTATCTCTGCTTATTGTCAGACACTGGGAATAATGTCACTTCCTGTAAATGGATTTCCAGTAACCATTGTGAGATAACAGAGAGAAGAAGCCAGAGGAGTGAGAGAAGTGCAGAGCGATTTCCTTCTTTTTCTTTTTTCTTTCTTTCTTTTTTTTTTAACAGATGATCTCCCTGCAGTCGTCACACTTGTCTGTAAGTTTCTGTATTTATTCTCATCGCCACACATATACAGTAATGTGCCGCCATATTGACCAGATCAGTATGAACTTGTCGTGCTGTTGAAATCCATTCACTCCAGCACATGGGCACATGTGGTTTACCAAAGTGCTCTCACAGCTGCACCACAGTATTACAATCTGTTGCAATACCAATACCTGTACCTCTGTTCAACAATGGTCTGTCAATAATAACAGTAATAATTAAAATATGTTTCAAAAACAAATTGTCTTTTGTAGAACCTTAATGTGTTTTAATGTGTTTAGTTGGTTTTAAAACTCTAACAGAGACATGCAGTACTCATTTCCTGTGGTGATGGACCACCAAGGATTCCCATATCTCTGACTTTGATGCATACAAATTTATTTCATTGTAAATTTGTCCTGCCAGATAAATACACATCCTCCCACAGTTCTTTTTTGCTATTGTTAACTGTTATCTGCAGGGGTGGTACTTGACTAGAGGAGCACTTGATACAGTAGGTGTTGTTATGAATCCCACAAAAGCAGAAGCCAAAGACGTAGGAATCCAACATTTCCTGTATCTGAAAGGGGCAGGCGCTCAGCATATGAATTTTATCACACCTATTTATCCATGGAATTTTTTGGGGGGTTTTCCACTGTCGCATAGAAAACTTAGACACTACACTCAGACATACACTTAGGGAGAACCTCATATACAGCAGTTAAAAACCAGACATGCAATATCTGAGAAGTTGAAGGTGGCATTAAAAAACAGATAACATCATAATAAAAAAATGTTTTGTCCTTTGATATCCTGTATTCCCTCCCAGATAAGAGCTTGGATATTAAATGAAAAAAAGAAAATAAGAAACTTTTCACTGTGCGCTTCCGTTACAGAGCAAATACTGGCTCGAAGTCAGCTGCCTCTGTGCTTTTCCTGTGATCTTGCAGCCATATTCCTAAAGCTTGACATTTCATTTCTATTCTTACCTGCAGGAGCACCATATCAAGTGCTGACATTGTAGGTCTGGGCACTTTCTGTGGCACTTTGGAAGTGGAAAGCTGTCCACCCATTTAAACTTTAATCTGTCCCAAATGTTGCTCTTCTCAAATCATTTTAAAATACAGTCAGTCATTGCAGCATTGTCCTTTCAGTGGTGGGTGGTGGCAGTGTGATAAGCCTGTCGGCTGTAGTTCCACAAAGTGTGGGCCTTGGGCCAATATGGCCCTTAGATACATTTGCAGCCATGAAAGTGACATGAAATGAAAATGCCAGAACAATGTCATTATAAAGTATGTCAAAAAATGACATGGTATGGTATAATGTCCAAAATATGAAAAAAAGCTCATAGTATATTATGATATCCAAAATATGATAAAAATATCATTTGAATAGTATGACAACCAAAATATGATAAAGAAGTCATAGTAAAGGATGACGTCTAAAATATGGCGAAAATGTCATAGTATAGTCCAAAATATGATAAAAGAAAAAGTCAGAGCACAAAATGACATCAAAACTATGATAAAAAAAGGTAGTATAGTATGATGTCCAAAATAATATAAAAATGGAATGGTAAAGAATGTCCTCCAAAATCATGAAAAAACATCATAGTATATTATGTCGTCATAAATCACGAAAAAAAGTGTTAGTATACGATGTCATCCAAAATCGTGAAAAAAAGTCACAATATAGTATGTCGTCCAAAATCCTGATAAAAAAGTCATAGCATAGTATTTTGTCCAAAACCATGAAAAAAAGTCATAGTATAGTACGTTGTCATAAATCATGAAAAAAGCGTCATAGCATACATAGTATGTCGTCCAAAATCATGGAAAAACGTCATAGTATAGTATGTCGTCATAAATCATGAAAAAAGTAATAGTATAGTATGTCGTTCAAAATATGATAAAAAAAAGTCATATTATTATATGACATCTAAAATATGATCGAAAAATTCATACTATAGTATGTCTTCATAAATCTTGAAAAAAATCATAGTGTAGTATGTCGTCATAAATCATGAGAAAACGTCATAGTATAGTATGTCGTCCAAAATCATAGAAAAAAAGTCATAGTATAGTATGTCGTCCAAAAAATGATAAAAAAAAAAGTCATAGTATTGTATGTCATATTAAATCTTGAAAAAACAACATAGTATAGTATGTCGTCATAAATCATGAAAAAATGTCATAGTACACTATGTCGTCCAAAATCCTGAAAAAAAGTCATGGTATATTATGTCGTCATATATCATGAAAAAAAGTCATAGTATAGTATGTCGTCATAAATCATGAAAAAAAGTCATAGTATAATATGTCGTCATAAATCATGAAAAAAAGTCATAGTATAGTATGTCGTCCAAAATCATGAAAAAAAGTCATACTATAGTATGACGTCATAAATCATAAAAAAACGTCATAGTATAGTATGTTGTCATAAATCATGAAAAAAGTCATAGTATAGTATGTCATCATTAATCATGAAAATAGTCATAGTATAGTATGTCGTCATAAATCATGAAAAAAAGTCATGGTATAGTATGTCATCATGAATCATGAAAAAAAAGTCATGGCATAGTATGTGGTCCAAAATCATAGAACAAAAGTCATGGTATAGTATGTCGTCATAAATCATGAAAAAAAGTCATAGTATAGTATGTCGTCCAAAATCATGAAAAAAAAGTCATAGTATAGTATGTCGTCATATACGATGAAAAAAAGTCATAGTATAGTATGTCGACCAAAATCATGAAAAAAAGTCATAGTATAGTATGTCGTCATAAATCATGAAAAAAAGTCATAGTATAGCATGTCGTCCAAAATCATGAAAAAAAAGTCATAGTATAGTATGTCGTCATAAATCATGAAAAAAAGTCATAGTATAGTATGTCGACCAAAATCATGAAAAAAAGTCATAGTATAGTAC